ACGAAGGACAAAAAAGTATAGCCGTATAGCCAGGACAACTTGCCACTTAAAACGTTTGCAAAGTCGTAGAGAGACAAATGAGAGAGAGAGAGAGAGAGAGAGAAAGATGAGAGGGGCTCGTCGATAGCTATGTCGGATAGCTTCCCCGTTTATTCGTCGTGGAAAAGTCGCGGTCGGGCATTCTCTCGTCGTCTCTGCCTTTGTTTCGGCATTTCTTAATGCACCGCAGGCCGCAGGACGAGTCAAAGGATGGCAAATGCGAATCCTCCTTTCCACCCTCGAGTTTCGCTCGTTCCAAACTCCGCCCGGTTTCCTTCGAGACGTAGAAAAACCGACGCGGCGTGGCAGGGGAGATTACGTTCGTTCCATTATTTCTCGCGTAATGCAATATCGTGGATAATCGAGTTCGGCTAGTTCGCAGGTGAATTATCCGCGGCAGGACGCCACTCTCAAATTGGCCCCTTCGTTAAGGACACTCTGCCAATGTAGGAAGTTGTATTATATGCGACGGCAATTAGGCTGTTGGCTGGATGAAAGGTATCGATTAGCAGCGCGAAACTTGTTATTTGAAAACGTTCGCTGTGTTGCGGGCTGTGGCTGAACTCGCTCGAACTTAATTAATATAAAAAATTAGCAGAAGCTGCGCCGTGATCAAGGTTGGAATAACACGACCCAGATTTTTAACATCTTTCTTTGACAATATTTTCTTGGGGCAAATAGTTTCAGAAAATTTAAACTTTACAGAAACTCGTTCGTGCGAGAAAATTGATATGAAATAAATTACAATTTCATTTTGTAATTTCAAGTATTTATTTCAACTCGTTAACAGTTGAGCAATAATTACGCTTGTAGTGAAATGTTACAATTTCATAAATTCATTCTACATATTAAACACCAGTCCTAATTAAATTCCATTATAAACCCTAGTTGAATTCTATTGTAATATACGCGCTAATGAGCTGACTAAGAGAAGGATCTCCTCGGATAAACAAAGTTTCACTGTATTAACGAAAAGACTTCATTGACGGAGAAAGAACGAAGGAATATCATTTTTTGCAAAATAGCAGACCGATTTCAATTCGTGATTTGAACGAGATGGGGGGAAAACGAAAGTGCAGACGGAAGCAACTGGCAAGCGACCGGTATCAGACGTCCCCGAAGTTTTCTTTTCGTTCGGCGATTCTGCTTTGCTCGGCTAATTTCGTCTTCCCCGCACCCACCTTTCCCCTGCACTCTTCCCTCCTCCGTCCCGGTCTCGCACATCTCGTCACGGCATGTAATTAAAATTGCAAATCCGAGTTAACCAGTATACTCGGTCGTCTCGCTCCACTCAAAGGTCCTTTCACAGACCGGGGATTTGCGATACAAACAAATTTGTTTATTTTTATTTGGCTTTCACGGCCCTCGGGGAAAGGAGATTGCCGGCCGGCTACGTCGCGGACGAGAGAACGAGAGAGGGCGAGGTTGGCGCGACGAAGACGCCGGCGACAGAACGAAGGAAGAAAGACAAAGAGAAAGAGCTTGGAAAAAGTTGCTCTCGCCACGAGCTGGTTCATTAGGTATTGTAATCCGCGCTGGTTCCGCCGCTAATGAAGATAATGGCATTAAAGTATTTGGCAGCTTTCAAACGTAGTGTACAAAGCCGATCGTTAATTTGATCCGGGCAATATCGACGGGAAGAAAAGAAAGTGCGCGCGATTGGACCAGGAAAAATATTCGTACGTTTTCTTTTGTTTGCAAAAGGGAGGAGCATTATTAAGTAATTTAAAATTTCCAACCGTTATCAGTATTCAATGATACTGGTTAAGAATCGTTTGAAGTTGAATTTCTCTAAATGCAAAGATTAATCGAGGATGTTGCGGTGATCAGCAAGTTTGACCAACCATTTTCACTCTGGGCAAACGTAATCTTCCGCGGATGGAGGAAAGCGTTCCGTAGCCAGTTAAACGACAAAGCATTAATGGAAACCTCTGTATTACTAGGGTGGTTTCCCTAGGCTGCAGATGGAGGCTGTGTGTCTTAGAAAGCAAACAAGTTGTCGGCCAACCGGTAAATATAACGTCAATAAAATATACACGTTTCGCGGGTAATTGCTAGCTACTGCCGTCGTTGCATCCATTTTATTTACACTGCGAGTAGCAAGATCTTACTACCATCAGTTCCAACGTGCAACTATTTTTTCTTCCCGAGAAACTCTTCGTCGTTTTACCATCTAATCAGCGGCTAATTATCACTCGCGGAGGGAAATCGTCGCGGTTAATTTTGAGAGAACGCGAAGATCGCGAAAGATTAATTACTGATTACGAGTGTCGTTCCTTGAAACGTCGTTCTCTCTCGAAACACTGCGAATCGCGCAAGCGTCGTGGATAAAGCTGCGCAACGGTGGCCGCTAGGTTGGTGGATCCGCGATCTCCGGCATCTGCGGCGCGGCCGAGCGGCAAGTAAAAGGTAGCCCTCGGCAGGTTTTAACGTTCCTGATGCGGTCGAAGGGTAACGTCGCACGGAACGGAAAGGATAGACTGTTGGCCGAAGGGTGAAGCGTAACAGAGAGTGGCCGAGAGCAGGCCAAGGTGGTTTTCCCGTAGGTGGTGTAGCCGGAGGGTTGTCGGACGGGCGCCTGGCGAGGCGGAGGCGCAGGGGGCGGACGAGGGCGAAATGAAGCATTCCTTTACGAGGGCTCTTACTGCTCGTAAAGTCGACTTTATGATGATAATTACAGGAGAGCGTAGTAAATCTGGTTGGCCGAGGGCCTTTCACGCTGGCTGAAGGCTAGCTTGTACTTTGCTCGCCGTGCGTCCTTCCTGAACACGCACATACACGGCCGCGTACGAGTCCGCAGGAACGTAAACGCGCGTTCCTCAACTCCCGTTAACGCTACCCGGCTAACGTAAGTAGCTGTACGCTGGCTAGAAATAAAGCTTCCGCGTTAACTAGAATCGCTTCGGGGTGCCCAGTCGCTGCCACGATTCTACTGCCGCGCGGCTGGCTCGACGTCGCTGTCGCTACTAGTTTTCGCGAAATCGCGAGTTTTCATGGTGGTTTCACTACTTTTATGGGAAATCGAAGATTGATGGACTCGTTGAACTTGGTCTCGTCTTTTTAAGTTTCGAAGTTCGACTGTAAGTTGATACGATAGTTAGGCGCGATCATTCGGTGGTAGATTAGAATAATTTTTACTATTACGTGCGTTTTTGTTGGTTGTTGGACTTCTTGGTAACAGCAACGGTCACTTTTGGAGACTTTTTATCTTATGGTTAATCTGCCTAAATTTGCGGAGCGTTAGTTTCGAATTAATCAAAGGACGTTGTATTCAACGCAGAGTTTTTTCAATTTCATTTAAATTTGATTAATTAATAATAGTTCAGATATTTCTAAATTTCCTAAAAGTACTTTCTAAAGAAGTCACAGAACGTGTCCAAGCCACGTTACTCTTTATAAGAATTGTACAAATCAAAGTCAGGATTCCCATCTAGGAAGTTCCATAGATTCAAAGCCAGCGATAGAACGAGGTTTCCACTTTCTTCTGAATCTCTCGCGTGAATCCGGCAGCAGTTATCGGCGAATGCAATCAAGCAAATCATGAAGTTGTTTGGAGAACCTGGCCGGGTGGGGGTCGACAGGGTCGCACGAGGACGCCCTTAAGTGCCCTAAGGAGACTCCTTTTCGTTCCAACCCTACTGATCTAACGCCCTTACGTTCACGAGCTGGTGTACGAGCAGCGAACGAGGGTCACTCGTCGGGGATAAAGTCGTTCGGACATAAGTATCGACATTTCTCGAGCTGTACTTAGCTTCTGTGTACGATGTATCTGATCGGGATCGAGACAAGCACACGATTTATGTTTCGCCCATTTTGTTGCTTGTCTCGGCTCCGGAATTTATCGGCTCCGTCTCCGTTCCGCTCTCGCTGATTTATGTATCGATTTGCAATCTTTCTTACATAAATCGCAAACGGCGATATGAAAATTAAAACTTTTACCATTAACCTTTTTTTACTTTTGCGCGTGTACGCGCGTGTTTCGCGTAACGTGATCGAGCGTCGCAGCAGATCGATCTCGGGAAACAATTTAATGGAAACGATGCAATGCGGGAGAGAGAGAGAGAGAGAGAGAGAAGCTCAACGGGACGTAAACTTATTTAGGAGGTAGTAAATAGTGTTTACTCGACGTTTAATGCGGCCACGACTTCGCAGTCGCCTTAACGATCTTCACGACCGGCCTCAAATTACGCGATGCCATCATGCAGGACATTAAAGAGCCACGCACTGTTGTCTCTGCACTCGTTATACCATTCGTACGAAATTTCATGCAATTCTGCGAGCCGTTCCTCCGCGAAACTACGTTATAACAGAGATTTTTAGCACCAGAATTACCGATGACTAATGGACCAAAAAAATAGAGAAATTGAAATTGCTTCCATTTTTTTTTTTTTTTTT